AACAAGTCCCATTTCATGCATGGAGTCCAAAACAGTGGTTTCCTTTTCCAAGGATGCATTCAGTGGGATGGCAATGTCACAATCTTCCTTTTCGTCTGTAAACCATTCCAAGTTTGATAAATTAAAATCACCAGAAATTACCAAAATATTCTCGGACTTCAATTTTGCTGCTACTTCACGAATTGCATTCATATTTGCTTCATAAACCGCGACAGGAGAATCAGGACGTATGTACAATTCAATTAGAAAAACATTCCTGTCTTTCAATGGCAGGATAACGCAAACTTGTTCAGCGCCATACTGCTCACCTGTGCTGACGAGTTCAGATTTCATTGTCCGATCAACAGCAATCAGTACACTTCCACCCCTTGTTTTAATTTTCCTTTGTTTTGATTCAGTTTCAATCGAGCGATCACAGCGATACACGGTAAAATTTGGAGGAAAAACCTCTGAAGAATCAATTGTGCCGTCAAGGCGAGTCTCACAAAGCATAAATATTGAGGAATCCGAAGCGATTATGTCAGCGTTAAATTCAGCAAGTCTGGATCTTACTCCATTGATGTTTTGCGTGTGTATCTTTTTCTTCAGTTTATTTAAAGGTGTGCGGTGAAATGTGCTCGTGAAATTATTGTTCAAAAATGATGTGGCATGCCGTTCAAATGTGGTACTCCATAAATTGGGTGTCGATATTGGTCGGTAGGATAATTCTGCTGCGGATCGGTCCAATATTGCGGTAAAAAAGACGAAGACTGCTGATGTGGCCTGACAATTTGACTGTTTTGTGCGAAATGGCCATATTGGATATTTTCAGGGACACCGTAATGATATATACTATTCATTTGGCTGTTGGAGTTAATGTTTTGGCCATTATTATGAAACATTTGATTATTGTTGTTACCATTCAAGTGTCCAAAATGATCATTACGCCTGAAATTATTGCGCCGTTCAATAAATCGGTCGTATCCTCGATGTGGCCGTCGAAGACTTCCATTCCAATTTCGACGATTTGGTTGTGATCGATGGTTATTGTTGTTATTGCTCCTTAATAGCATTGAGTTTGGCATTTGACTGCGACCATTTCGGTTTTGACGATGATGTCGCTGGATTAGTCGCCTAGTAATTGAAGTAAATGCTTGAGATTTTGAATGAATATATTAAACACAGTTAGTAGCGAGATAGAAGCAACGCAAAAATATATATATATTCATTATGAATGAAGCTACTTAAGGCTTTAATGACGTTCATTTCATATTAAACCTCGTTCCAAAAGAAATTTTTCTTTTGCTGCATTCCTTCACATATATTTCTTTTTTTTTTTGTGGACGCTTCCCAAAAACAACGGGCAACATAGAAGAAAAAAAAAGCCAAAATTCAAGGCAATCTGTTATATAATACATTTTTCAAATATAATATGTCTAGGCATTTAGTGTGCAATATTTCTCGTTTCCATTCATATCGAATCAATCACGAATTATTAATGCTCAAGCGATTGACAGTGTTTGCTAATTTATTCCGCTTTTTTTTCATTTGAATAGAACTTCGAATATAATAAACATGAACGATTCGGCGCAAAACTTCATTTTATTCTTTGCAAAGAAAAAAGAAGTTCAATATTTATTTTAAGCATTTCTTTACGCGCTAATCCAAGTTATCTCCTTGAACTGTGTGGGATTTTTTTGTATCTATTGCGAGAAAAAAAAATTCCATCGTGGACAATACAAAAGTCATATGGACCAAAGAAAGAAAATAATAATAATTTCGCTCGTTACACTCTCCATGTATAGATACAGCTCAAATCAACTCAATTATATTTCTTTCTGCTTAACTTAGCAGCAACACAGTAATGTGGGCTTTTGTCAAAACATACTGAGATCAATTTTTGACGACAAAAAATGTATGTACTTGACATTTTCCTATGAGGATAATAAGAATCGTATCCTAACAAATTCATGAAAATAGCTTTTGGGTGAAGCACCTGGGTCGAAAACATATCGAGAATACATGAATTCTTCATCAGTTCATATTATCGGCGACAACTTGCCGCTATATAATACAAAAATATGGATAACATTCTATCTGTCTCTTCAATTTTAATTTTCAACTTAACTGGAGAAATGGATAAAACAATGCAATTCAGAGTGAAATTTTCCAGATTGTTTATTTATGTTAATATTTTTATTTGTTTGTTATGGACTAGAGCCAACAATAAAAATGTGTTTTAATTGCTCTTTTTTTAATTCAATGAAAATCCACTGAAACTGAATACATAAATTAAATATAAAGAGGAATAATAACAACAAGAAACTGGAGACGAGGTGAAGAACACTTTTCGAACAGCTTTATAACATTCATCACTAGAAGTGGTATTATGCATATATTAAAATACAAATAACATCACATATTTTGTCTTCTTTCAATTTTTATAAATCGATTCTCGATTCGTCGTCACTGCTTATTGATTATAGTTCGTTTTCTGAACCGGTAATATTCACCTAAAAACCCGAAATGAAGATACAGTTTATGTTTATTATTATCATGTATAGAAATATCAAAAAGTTCTCTAATCGATTCCAGTATCACATGCGAGTTAGCACACTATTGAACATAAAAATAGAAACAAATTACTTTTATTATTATTGAAAATTCTGTATTTCATGGAGTATTAAAAAAATTAGATTGAAATCAAAACTTGCATGAGATGATTATTTAATATTGAGCGCTATACTTTAAAGATACGTCGATAAACACGTAACTGGATTAGAGCATAAGATAAGCTGTATGTAAATGCGATATTTACGAAAAACAGAAGATTCTTTACAAAGTGTCTGACCAATCAATCATTCTTCTTTACTTCGGTGCACAATAAATTGCTTGTTTATTTCAATCCATAGAATGTTCCAGAATGAAATAGAATAAAAAAAAAGATTATTCATGAATATTTTTTTTTTGCGTGGGCTTTTTATTAATCCCAAATTGGTACTTTGCAAGCAGACAACATTTTTACATGGAGTACATGTCGAGTACATGTATGCCATGAATTGTATCAAAATTGTTGTAAAAGTGATAAAAAAAACGGAAAATAGTTGAAAATAATGGCAACAACGACGATAACAAGAGAAAGTAAAGCCATTGAAAAAGTTTTTTCACCCGCAAATGTTGCTGCAAAAGCATTTTCAACGATTGCACAAAATAGTTTAGAGAGAACATCACATCACACAGTTGAATTCCAAAACTAAAATAATAATAATAAGCCAATTTAGTGGTGAACCACTTTACGAATATCAAAAATAGCACATTCAAAAAGTTGAGGGAGAGAGCAGGTAAAATACAGATTTTCGACAAATTTTCTATAACATTATATTTGTGAATGTATATGTATTTGCATCATCTCATCTGGCAAGTGACATCAATGCATTGCAAAGTTTTACACATCCGTTCGATAAATCAATTATTAATGATCGACCAAGAGTTCTTAATTGTTAACATATTTACACTGACGCAATCAATTTACACAATCTAATGTAATCATGATTCGGTTTCTGTATTTCCTTAGTTCATAAAGAGTTTATAACACGTGCAAATATTTCGATTCAAATTTAATATTTTACACCATTTTTGCAATATGTACAAAATGAATAAATATGTATACATTTCGTTTGAGCATTAAGAGAAACAAACAAAAGAAAAATTCATTTGAGTGATATGGATTCAAGATAATTAAGATTTTTGATTTAATAACTTTCAGCCGGTTGCTAAAATACATTAAATTCACAATTTTTATAGTGTAAGCTACCATGCATTTTGCTGTAAAGAACTAATGCAATAAACTTTTCTTCATGAATAAATAAACAATTCTGTTTTTATGCCACTCGAATTTAACGAAAAAATAATAGAGAATATTTTGTTCCCGTGTTTTCTATTAACGGGATGATCTTTTGTATAAAATCCGAATAACGATTATAGAAATAAAATACGACAATTTCTTTTCTACTTTAGAAATTTATTTTATGCATATTTTTTTTTATTGATAGAACACTTCCAAACTAATTCCACTCTTTATTATTTTCATTTAAAATAAAACATAGTAAAATAGTAGGTATTTTTTTATCCCCAATGACAGAAAAATTTGTGACAAAGTATTCCTAATAAAATTTAAAAATTAAGATTTTTTTTTTTCGTTACACTAAATTAAAAAAGAAAACAGGAAATTTCAGATGGAATTGCATCTTTGAGGATGCAATGTTATTGTGAGTTCATCATTAAAATAACGCCCTTTTTGCTTGACAATTTTCAATTTCACCGAATCATTCAAGTTATCCAAGATTGTTCGATAGCAAGTCAGATTCAACTTTTTCAGAGATTGACTTTTTGAAAATAAATTGAGAATATGTTCCGAAAGTAAATCACTTGTCATTTTTTCACCTACAATTCGAATGCTCAATTCTTCAATATTTGTCAGCACAGATTCTAGTTGAAATAATTTTTTGATAGCAGTATTGTTTTCATCTCTCACTCCGTCCAGTGTAATTGATTTTAAGTGCTTATTTTTCGTTAAAAAATCGAAAATACAAGATGCGATTGTTTTGTCAAAGCAACAGTCGTATTTGAAATGCTCAAGTTTGCTAAAAGTAAACGGAATATTTGTGGGCCCTGTTTCAATATAAGACATCGACCGCATTTCGAAATCAACAACACTGTCAAAATGATAGCATTGATCAATATCATTAAAATACATTTGTAAAATAAAACGCTTAAGCATTGGCAGATTTTCCCTAAAATTCTGAAAATTAACCTCTTTGAATTCATTATACAGTGCTAGTTCTAAATCTTCTATTTGTGGATTGAGTTTTAGTAGATCATCGATACAATTTTTTTCAAGGTTTAAATCTCTATCTGGACCACCCAATATTGCGTAAATAGATAATTTTTTTACAGATGGAATGGAAACTGGAATGGATCCATGTAACCTTAAAGGAAGGAAAAAGCATTGAATATATTTTAAATTTGGAAAAATTGTACTGAATGGAATATTACATAAAGGTAAACAATATGAAAAATCGATTCTTTCAACATTAATGAATGAGTTTTGATTTTCTTTGAATAAAAATCTGGGAAATTTTACGAATCTAAATCGTCTCAATGATTTTGAACAATATTTTGCCACATAACTTTCAATGTGAATTAGTAAAGTGGGATGGAAACAGTGATTATTGGTTGATTCTATATGCAATAATATATCCGAGACAACATGTCCAAAATTTCTCAGAATTTTTAATGCCTTCACGTGATTCCACACAAGGATATCTGGTGCTGAACCTAAGCTGTAACTAAAAAAAAGAAAAAAATAATTTTTTTTTCACTTTAGAAAAAAAATCACAGAATCTATTCGCTACCTTCCATCAAAATAAGTCAATTGTAATCGTCCTTTGCCATATTTTCGTTTGTATACATCACAAGCTGCTGTATGCAGTGTTTTACTCGTTTCAGCTACACTCAATAAATCCGGCCATGCCAAAAATTCAAAAATTAATATCTTGACATCATCATCAATACTTGTTATATTCAATGGTTGTGGATTAATCGATAGTTGGTGGTCAACGGTTTGTATGCTATCGACAGATTCCATTTTGTATGTTGGTTTTCAGAAAAAAAACTCAATTTTATTACTATTAATTAAATTGAAACTTAGTAAATGTTTTAATTATTTTAACAGAATTGATTATCTGTTAATATTTATTCCAGACAAAAAAATCTTTTCTATCAATTATTTGTATTCTGGTCCTTTTAACGAAATGCTTGACAATTCAGTGGTATGTCATTTTTTTTGTAGTGTTGGTAGCAATTGTAGATATCACACATGAAGTAAGAAAAAGCGTGAGTATTGTGAGCCTATTCACATACTGCTGGCCATTATTTCGAGCCTTTTCACACATTCACATATCAAAACCAATTCAAAACAATTGTTCTCATATTTTTAATAATAATAATAATAATAATTCTGCACCATACAGCGTTTCTTCGCCAGAGGTG